CTAGCATATAAAATTAAGGGTATTGTATGAGAATTTGCAGTGTTATGTCTCCTTTTTTGGTATTACCATAAAACCACAGGTACTGCAAATTATAAAGAATCAACCTAAATATTCTAAATGTTATCATTTGAAAATCATAAGAATAAAAATACTTGCATGTTGTCCCGCATACAGGTTTTTCCTTCCCTTCCAACAGATCCCACAAATGAATGGATGCCTGTTCATATTGTTCATTCAACCTTCAACAAAGAAATTAACAGAAACGGAATGTTACCTCAAAAGTTTCATGTTGCAAAAAAAGTAATTAGATTACAATTACGATTCTGAATTATTTTGGCTTTATACTCAATCATATACCTTATGTTCATATCACGTTCGGGTTCAACCAGCTTGTAAAACTCGTCAAGTGTGGATAGTTCTGCTTCTGTTAATATAGATACCCCATTTGTTCCTTGTTTTAGGTCACTGCGCACTTCATCATCACCCAATTTGTCCAAAATATACTGCAATTCAAGTACTGTCTTTAAATGTTTTTGTTCAGCTTCTTCTCTCATTAGTTGTTCCCGTCGGGCTGTCTTCTTTATTGTTTTTTGAATCTGGTGAAAAATATGTTTGCTTAACAAGTGTTTGAAGCAGTAAACAAATTTAACAGATTCTACATATTAAACATTCTAAGCATCTTAACAGGAAAAATCCAATACTTAATTATTTCAAATATTTTCAGTGTTGAAAATGAATAGCTAAAAGCTTCATAAGATTTTCCTGCTCCCTGAGTAGTTTTGGATAGAATTAGATTATTGTGTGTGTTTATTTCCTGGATCAGCTCTGGGAAGTCCTGGGGGGGGAGGGGGGAAAGGGAATAGATAGGTATATAAATTTATGTATTGTAGATTTATATGTGTTTTTATAAGGAGATGTCCGGTGGGTACCCCAACTGCACCAGACGGGATGATTGAAAGAGGAAGGGAGGTAGGAGAGAGGGAGGAAGGAGGAGAGGTTGTAGGATTGGGAGGAGGAAGGTGTGGTAAGTGAAGAGGGGGGTGCAGGGGGGGACACCGGGCACTTCCGTGAATGTATTGAATAGTGTTAATTTCTTGGTTGATATTGTAATTAAAGGCATCATATTTATGTTATTGTTTTCAATTGAAAAATCAATAAAAA